TAATTAAATCTAATAACATATTAAAAATTAGTGATTAATTCAATAATAATTGAGTAGTTATTCACAATACTATGTTCCATTGCCTTTTGAAAAAGCAGGTCTTTAGGAGTTATAAGACCTGCTGAGTAAATCCTGGTCAGGTACAGTGATATGAAGTTCAAACTTCCACTTCTGCAGTTGAATTAAGGTCATTATAACCAGTTTATATTGGTGCCTCAAGAAGTCACAGGGAGAAATTAATTTCCTAATGTGCTTCTAGCTAGGAAATTGCTATTTTAGTCTTTCTGGTCTTGCTGATCTATTCTTCAGGAAAATTGCAAGAAACTACACACATATAACATCAGCTCTTGAGCTTGTATACACACAGTGAAAAAGATCATCAAAGGAAGCTTGGGAGCTACAGTCACAAGCTGCTGTGATTTAACCCCAAAGCCCCACACAGCCACTCACTCCTCCCACAGACGGGTGAGGAGAGAACCAGTGGAGCAAAAATGAGAAAATTCATAGGTTGAGATAAAGACAGTTTAATAGGTAAAGCAAAATCTGCACATGTTAGTGAAGCAACCCAAGGAATTCATTCACCCTTCCCAGGAGCAGGCAGGGGTTCAGCCAGAAAAGCCAGGCTCCATCATGTCTAAACAGTCCCCTGGGAACGCAAACGCTGTCACTCCAAATGTCATCTCCTCCCTTCCTTCCTTCTTCCCCCACATCTAAATGCTGAGCATGATATCATATGTTATGGAATATCCCTATGGTCAGTTTGGGTCAGCTGTCCTGGCTGTATCCCCTCCTGAGTCCCTGTGCACCCCCAGCCCTCATGCTCACCCTCACTCACCAGGTGGGGTGAGAAGCTGAAAAGGCCTTGAGGTTATGTGGGCACTCCTTTGCTGCAACTAAAACATCCCTGAATTATCAACCCTGTGTTCAGCACAAACCCAAAACACTGTCCTATCCAAACTATGTGAAGAGAATTAACTAGCCCACTGGTTCACTAGCCCAATTGTTTTGATGCTCAGAAGTAGCAGCTGCTAGAATTTAGCCCATTTAACCTTTTGGGTTTTCTGCCTTTTTGCTTTTCATTTACAGAAAGTTTAGTTGCAGGGGATGTTTGTTCACAACATTTCTGAAAATCAGAATCAGAGGGTTTTTTGCTTAAGTCTGAAGTGAATACTTAGTTCAAGTGCTCCTCCAAGTGCTCCTCCAAATAGTGGCAGCTATTTTTAAATGATCCAAGCTTTTTTTTAGATGAAATTGTCTTGGAAAATTTTTTTTGTTATATAAGAACAGAGAAAGCTGGCTCTTAAAACATACTGCTTACTTTATGAAACAGATATAAACATAATGAGGAAGTGATGAAAGCTGGAACAGTATCCTTATCAACAGGTGGCCCAGGGCAGGATAAGCTTCACTATTTGCCGTATAAATAACCAGTGGATTAGAGAAGAGACCTGCCCTCGGGACAGACACAAGGCTAACAAGAGAAGGTAATCAATCACTTCACAGTATCTGTCAATCTGTCTTCCATGTAAGTACCCAAACCATAATAATTTGAAAAGGCACTTAGAAGCCTTAGTGGACTTGGACCCTAGCCAATTCCCACAGCTTTCTGGTAACACAACCACCAGACACATGAATGGGAATTCCACAGTAGGAAAAAAATCCAAAAGAACCCTCACAACCCCAGATGAAATACTATTTACTGTGATAAAACTGACTGAAATCTTGTGTACACCTTCCCACCTCAAACCCAAACATTCCTGATTGAGCCCTGGCATGCAGACTTCAGCCACCTGATTACACACATGGCTATTCCTCTTTGAGGGCTCCTGGCTCATAAGGGCAATGCAGGGGTAACATAAATGTTTTAAAATTGTTTCTTACTGTTCTTCCTTGTTGTTCAAACTGTCCCCATACTTTCCTCAGTGTTCCAAGGAAAGAACTATCATGTTCCTAACAGGCCATTAATTTCTACAGAAATTTCCCCAGTACAGTCCAGCTTTCAATATTGTTTTGCTGAGGAGCATCCACAGCAATGAATATGGTGGCACTGATGCTAAAAGAGAAAAGGTTAAAAATTAACCTAAAAATATGGTGTTCAACACAGAAGTGCTTGGACAGTAATCACTGCTTTGGATTAATTACCTTGCCAGGGAATTTTGCATAGCCCAAAAGTGGTGGGGGTTAGGGTTAGGGAGAGTTGTTTTGTTATTTGGTTTTCCCCACAATGGAGCTTGTGGGTCAAGCTCTTCCTCTTACTGTTTAACTCTGTACTTAGAGCACTTACTCAGGATGTGTCTTCCCTGTAATTTCTTCCTTACCTGAAGGAATTCAAACTGGTCTTTCCTGCCTCCCAGGCAAAGGTTTTCTGAGATCAAGCTGTCATTTCTTCCCATCTAAGCTGTCTGCCCTGTTCTGGATGAGCTAGCTTCATATTTATAGAAAATGGAACCAAGACAGATTCTATAGCTAAAGGGGAGGAACACCGACCTGAAAAGAGAGATGTAATTCCAGTCACCATCAGCTAATGCTTGAATGGTTCAAATATTCACTGGAAACAAGATTTAATCCTAGCTGAATTAATTCAATGCTCATAGACTCTCTCCTGAAATCCTGCCAATATGCCCAGTTGTGCCAGGAAGATTCCAGTCCTATTGTCTCCTCCCTTCTTCTTCCCCTACATCCCAAACATCTCACTACATACCACAGTACAGTAACTATCTGACTCATCTTTAGAGACACAACCACACCTGATTACAAAATAGCAGAAAATACTGGTTCTCGGAGGCCATCTAGTGGGAAGAGCAGAATACTTCAAGGAAGAAACAACAAACTTTTCTTTCTTAGAGATGATTTAACGCGGTCTGAAAGACACATATTAGTGACACCTTGCTGATCAGTGGATGTTCTTCCCACACAGCAACAAACAAGTTGGTTAGGCTCATACACCAGATTTAATAAGCTGAGTATGGTCACAGGCTCTTCTTCTCTCACTAGCATTAATTCTAAAAACTGTATTAGGAGTTCTGTCAGTGCAATGAAAAACCATATATGGATCTGACCCATCCTGACTTGCTGGCATGACCACAGAAAGTAGATATAGGCTGTCACCTCCTCCTGATTTATGACTATCACAGATGGAAACAAGAAGACAATGACTGTTGTTAGTTCTTCATCTGTGGTATCTAAAAGACAATGCTTCAATGAAAGTTTATTTCACAGATCATATAAAAATCATGCATATCATCAAATAAGGCTTTACAAGATAAAGGGTATAAAGGAAAGACACATACAAATTCATAATATATAAATTTCTCTCATCATATTACACACAATACTCTTTATAGTTACACATTTAGGAACTAATTACTACCATTGCAGACATTTCACTTGCAACATTGATCTTGGGTTTAAGGCTAAAATCTGCCCATTTTACTTAGGTAAATTCTTAGAGCTATTCCAAAGAACTCAGCCTGAAAAACAAGTAGAAGACTGGACTTAATTTCTAAATATCATAGCTGCTACATTTACATGCAACTGTAGAGCACAACCCTCTTTTTAAACTTGGTTCTATTCAGGAGTCAGTTAATAAAGTTACCTATACTAAAAAGATAACCATATACTTAAGTTAGCTGATATGACAAATGTAAAAATATCTCATGTTTAAGCTTGTAATTACCTGGAAGTGTTTTTCTGCTAGTCATAGTTAATGTTTCCTCATAGTTGACTTTTTAAACTGATGCATTTCACATTCTCTTATGCAGGTGCGTCATGATAAAGAAGAAGTTAAGAGAGTGTTTTACTTGAAAAACCTGAGAAACTTACCAGACTTATTCAGATATGGTACCTGAGAGTATGAAGTTCTACAAAACAGAGCTGAAGTTTATAAACCTGAATTCTTCATAAACTCCAAATCCTTGTTAATGTTAACAAGAGTTTGGAAGCTGCGCTAGAGAGGAGAATGATATCTTATTGCCTAACCTTAGTTCCTTTTCAGACAACACACACAAACACTGAACAAAATTTTCACCAACTCTGGAGCAAAGCAGAGAAAAAAATGGTGTCAGTGTATTGCATGCAACTGTTATTACCACATTATGTTACCTTTAACAGGTTTCTCATATACATTCATCTGCTGTTTAAATTCTAGCTGCACTGAACTATCAAACAAGACAGAAACTACCTTGTTTACTAATAGAATGGCAATCTACCTCTTGACTTCAAGTGAAACTCTACCCAGCTACAGCAAAAGTCAGATACTTTAGAGAAAAAATTAGGTTTACATTCTTTTAAACACAAAGGAATGAGTGTCTGCATGTCATATCTGGCTGCTGACTCCAGTTACTCCAAGAAGAATTCTTGAAGGATATATAAAACTGAGTTGAAAAGTGGAATCAGCACTGAATTGTACCCTCCAAACTTACTTGTTTTATGTGATATTTGTGATATGAAGGCCTCACAAGGTTTAAGGACTCCAAATAATGCTCAATGCACAAGAGAAACAGTTTCACAAATGAGATATAACGTGCTTCTTACGCAAAAATGTCTGTTTGCTATCATGCCTTACTATTTTGGTCAATTTTTGAAATGACAAAGGAGTCCCTGCCAAGAACTTGGCTGCATACACATATCTATGACAAATCCAAGAGTTTAATTTGCTAAATTGTTTGAAAAGGACAGGATTTTACTAAATGATGTATCTAAGTGTCTAGTGCTATCATAGTCCACAACATTTTACGTCTCATATTTTAAAAATATATGAAAGATTTTCCTTGTACCGAAGGTGATTACTTCAAAGTTTATAAGCATAGTCAAGTCCTTCCTGGAAGAAAAATAAACTTTTCTGTAGCTTGCCTTAAAGTGTGATCCAAGATGATTATTATGTTATTGAATGTAAATTTATATATTAATGTTTCAATAGTGCAGAAGATACACAGAATAAATCATTGTAAAGGAAAACTATTCTAGCTTTCTGTCACTGTATAAGCTTAATTACACAATGCTGGCAAATAATTCCATTTATTAGTAACATCACAGCATCTTTGACAAGATACTCAATCAAAAAAATAGGTTTGCTGAAATGCAGAAAATGTTCCTGTATAAACTGGATTATAATTGTAGATCAATTCTTTTGTTTCCTCGTCTTCACTGGAGAAATGGTGCATGCTCTTCCTGGCTGTAAAACATTGTAAAAGTATAGACAATTTTAATGTTATCCTTCTCAACAATTTTATCTTGGCAAAGTAGGTTATTTTGTGTAGCACAACAACAAATGGAATTACAATAACTTTTATGTGAAGAACTGTGAAGATACATCTTCAGAAAGTTGGTTACAGCATAATTTATTAATGGAGAGGGAGAATTTAAAGTCGAAACTGCATTAAATAGTTATCCATAAGATACTGGCAGTATCTAACAGAAATACCAGTACTTTTAACCCAAAAGAAATGCATCAGAGTATTTGACTACTGAAAGCTGCATGGACTGTGCTGGTGAGGACAATAAAATTGAATCCTCCCCTGGTTTATCATGCTGGCAACTCTACAGAAGTTAAAATTAATGATGGATGGATACAAAAATGGCATTTCAGTAGAATGGTTTAGTTACTAAGTGATCACATGTGAGTATATTTTTACCAGCTGAAAACAGTTTACATTTTTCATCTTGTGGTTTATTTTCAAAGTTAGGGAAGATATTCTGCCTTACATTAGCTAAAAATGTCAATTACTCATTGCAAAGTTATGATATGGAGTACTCAGTAGGAGCAGCTTATGTTTCAGTACCTCCCCAAAAGACTGGGGAGATAATGAAGAGTAATTTAGGATTTGGTAGAAGAGATGGGGGTAGACAAAGCTGGCTGAAGAAAGTTTGCTCTACTGGAATGGTCAGCAGATCCAAAAGCTAGTGACACATCTGTGTGGCACTCTGCACAAGCTCCTTAGATGTGTACACATACCTAACAGAACTCACACACAGTGTGTCTCAATGGGATTTACAAGCAGAGCTGGCACTTGTTTTGCCCTCTTAACTTGGATAAATGGCCTGAGCAAGCTTACTCCTATTGGGAATACAGTCTGCAGACAGATACTAGAGAAAGTAGCAAACAAAGCCAGAAAACACAGTGCATTCTAGTATTAAACAACAAACCCAGACTCATACTGGATTTTCTCCTATTCCCCCCCTTTATTTTCGTCATAGTCTGCCATCTCATAAAAGGGCCTGGGTTGGAAGGGACCTTAAAGATCTTCTTCTTCCAATCCCCCTGCCATGGTCAGGGACACATTCCACTAGACCAGGCTGCTCAGATGCCCTGTTATGCCTGGCCCTATGTTCCCTATCAAAATGGTTTTGCTAGTGGTTTCACAAAGAGAAGTAGGACTACTTAATGTAAAAAAGCACCTTGAACTTGTATGTAATGCAACTTTTAGTTCTACACTCTCACTGACCAGGTCAGCACAAATTGCATTTATTTACATCGCTGTGTAGTTTCTTCATGAAGTTGACTCTTGATTTGAGACCAAATCTAGAGACCAAACTCAACCATCTTAATTATTATGTTCTTCATAGTCCCCATCAAGGAGGTAAGACAATTTCATAAAACAGTCCAGCAAAATTATTTAGTAGGGATGAATTAAGAAATAAAGTTTGATTCCTTCAAATACTCCTCTATTTATATCCTGCTTATTTATAGCAAAGATCAGAAGTGTCATAAACTATCAAAATGCTATGCATTAGTTACTTCCAGATTCTCAGGGCATAAACAAAAAAAACCAAAAAAAACCAAAAAAAAAACCAAAAAAAAAAATTAGCAGCTCTGCAAAATTCAAAGACTCCTTGTGATGTCTATAGTATACAACTGTAGGGTACCATATTGCACCCCTCTGGCACATCCATACTGCCCAAGCCCTATTTATAGTCCTGGTGTATGCATTTTGCAAGCAAAATTGAGAACACATTGAGTGACTGTAAGCCAGTTTGAAACTGAAGACGACCCTGGAATTATGAATGGACTACTTTTTTTGTTTTATTGTCTTTGTGCAAGAGAGGCCAAAATGTTACAGGGATATTTTGAAATGGTAGAAAGTCACAATGTTTTAGAGACAGCCAAGTGAAAAGAGTTTGTGTAATGCTTGGTCTTTTGATGTTACTTTCACTAAGCCACTCTATTTCTAGTATCCTTTGGTGTTTTATAAGCCTATAAAGCTTGCAGAGTAATCTTCTCAGAAAACTCTATAAGGTACTGAATTTTGACAGATGAAAAAAAAGTCCATTGTCTTCAAAGTTATTCAGTAATGCTTCACTCTCACCCCCAACATTTATAGATAATAAACTTCTTTTACCTTCATTAACGAAGAAATCAGCCATATAATATGCTGCTCTTACAGCAGATGGTGAATGTGGAATGCCTGGAGAATCCTTCCACTCAAAAGGATTTTTCTCTGGATGCCATTGCATGCCATAAATTGGGTATTTGTATGCTACAACGAAACACAGTTTGTAAAGGAGTATGCCTTAAGAATTATGTAATTAATCTTACTGCAAAATAAGAGGATAAGCTACAAATATACCTCACTTATCAACAGTTTCACAAAAGCTTGAATATCAAGTTGAAACACTATTAAAGTCATAGTAGAACTGAAGGAAAAGCAAGAGATATGATAAAAGAAGGGTCTCATTCCAGGCAAGAAAATATTTGTATGTAATTTTTTTTGATTCTTAATTTCAGAATTAATGTATATACACACTAAAAAATAATGTTTCAGGTGTATCAGTCTCAAAGCTTTCTATCCTCTTGCCAGCATCGCTCAGCATTCTCAGCCATACAGGATGCCAATTCCATGGGGGAGATCCAAGTCTTTGTATCTCCTTGAAGACCCAGTCAATCCAGGGGCAGCTCCCACCTGCTCCAGCCAGGCCCGATACACTTTGGGGGAGTCAGTCCTCAGCTCTCTTCCAAGGAATAGCAGCACAGCAGCTGATGACTGCTCTGTGATAAACCCCTTGCAGGCACGGGTGATGCCTGTCATTAGCCTAATCAGGTTTGCTGATCAAAGTGCTACTCCTCTCTTTTGGAGGCCAGCCAGGATGTCACACAGAAGAATCCCATTGGTGACAGCTGGGCCCTACAGTAGGGCTGCTAGTGGTGCACTGATCAAGATAAAACACTCCCTGAAGAGCTAACTTCTTTCCTGAGCTGAGCAAGCCCGGCGCAAAACAGACAAAACAAGTCGCGCAAAAGACAATTTTGGAAATTGGAGGAGAGCGATTTCCAAATTTGGAAAAAGAAGGAGGGCGATTGCCAGCGTTGCTGCTAAGGTAATGAGGGATAGCGCTGTTCCCTCAGCAGTCTGGAGCGTTCTTCCCCTCCAGCAAACAGAGAGCAGCAGGGAAACGCGAGCCTGAGCGGGCAGCTGGAACACACAGCTTGACAGAGGCACACTGCGCTGCGCAGGTTCACCTGCTGCAGCACAAGCGCTCTGCAGGTCACACCACAGCGCTCAAATATGCCAGTGCTAAGGAGTAACAGCATATCTGGAAGGGGAACAGTGGGTGGGAGGAGTATTAAGGCTCAGGGTACTCAAAAGATAAAATACCCCTGCAAACAGAATTGCCAGGGCACTGGCAGGGCTGATGCTCACCCCGCTATTTCAACAACTTGCGATATGAACTCACATCTAAACCACAACACCCCTAAAGAACTAGGTTGTTACAGTCACAGTTTCCAAAGGAAATTAATTTCCTTACCTTCCATGGTAGATATAAACTCCACTTCATCATCAGTGTTAGTGGTCAGAACATTATAGAAATTACGAAGCTTTTCATTATTGGTGAAATTCTGTGATAAAGAGAGGGGGAAGAGGGAAAAGGTGTTATTTGCTTATTTATTTCTAGTTTTAACCAAAAAAAAAGTGCTTGTATGCAGGAAATAAAAATATCAAATACCTCCATGGAGAGGCTCCATACATGGAAGTTTGATGTCAATGGCTCAGTAGCAAGTGAGCGTAGTAAGTCATCCGGGAAATTCCTGAACATTTTACTGTCTTTTGCAGCTATTACAAAGAAAAAAATTGTGTTTTCCGTTACTGAAACTGGTCTCAGATGGACTTATACTGACAGAAGACAATTAATAAAATGTTATATTGAACTTTTTTGGCAGTACAACTTTATTATTTTAGAATATCCTGCAAAAAATATCAGTGAAGTAACTACAACAGATTTCCAATATGCTGTTACCACTGTCTACCGGTCTTGACCCAGAGAGGATCCAGCTTAGGCAGCAAAGTTCTCACTAAAATAAGCATCATTCTTTGACATTCATTTCAGCAGCCTTTCCACTCACAATGAGCACAAGTGACAGAATTTGTGAATGCTACTTTTTTTTTTTTGATTACTCACAAAGGGGAAAGTATCAACAGAGGCCACACTTTACAAGAGCTGCCTAGTGCCATATCTCTATCTCAAGGGACCTCTGTGATTTCAACACTGTTCAAATAGGACAGTAATGCTACCATTCATCATGAGGAAAGACATGATTTGAAAAATTTAAAATCACCTGCTCTCCAACTTTATTAGGTTCTGAACCTGTGAATTTTGTTCAACTTGGTCACAAAAAGCAGACGTTATTTTGTAGGTCCAAATTTTCAAATGACTCAAAGAGCCACAACTTTGTTTTTTGCGGACTGCTGTTGGTTTCAAATGGCTTGTGCTCACTTCTCTTAAGAAGTGACAGCTGCACTGACTTTACTAAAACAGTCAACGCAACTTAATAACAAAGAATTTAACAGAAGACAATCATCATGAACCTCACAAATATTCACCCTGTAATATTTATCATGAACAAAACACAACACCTCTTAGCAAAACTCAGACATGAGATGTAATGAATTTTTCACCTGAGGTAAAGTTCAGAGGGAGTGAAAATCCATTTGTTTTGGTACGAACAAGCAAAATTTCACCACTTGTGAGATACGTAAGCTCTTCGTGTCCAAGACACGTTCCCCATATTGGGAAATAATCTCCTTTATCATTAGCCTGCAAAATAAAAGCAACAACACAAGGAAACAGTAATGAAAATTACAGAAAAGAGGCTGACAAGAACTTCCTACTCTTTTTACTTTCTTTTGTGTAGGTGAGAAGTATAACCACTACATTACTATGAATTGCTACCACAGGAATTATAACAGTTCAACTGCAAAAGAAACAAGTACAGATTCCCTTAGAGTATCTCCTAAAACATGAAGGCTAAAGGATATATATGTGTTTTGAAGCAGCAAACTGAGCCTAATGTGGATACTTTGGTTCTACAAGTAACAACTGAGAGCAGCCTAAACAGAAGCCACAAAATGGCAACATTTCTCTAAAAAAAGTGATCATTAGAAGGGTCTGTCACCATTTTGAGAGAAAGTTTTCTACAAAGCACGCTCTGATCACACAGCAAGGGACCTTTGCAATGTCTGTGCCCACCCCACTGTATTAAAAAAACATGAATCCTACTACCAGCATAGCCACGGTCTTACGTGACATACCTATATGACTGTTTAGCTAGCAGGTTTAGACCTGTGTTCCAAAAAGACAAAATGTACACTTAAGCAACGTTAAAAAGTGGCAATCATTTTCAAAAGAATAAAAATTGGCAGGTCAGTGTGAAAACAATATGAAAAAAAAACAAGAAGGAGAAAAAGTAACCAAAAAAAACAGGAACGAACACAACTAGTTTCTTGGGACCTAATGGTGCACACATGCAGTGGAAATCTGCATTTTTAAATGGTTAATAGTAAGCATGTGTTGGAGACTGGGATGTTTCAGAACTCCTGTTTTTGTGAAATCTGACTAGTTTTTCTTAACTTGTTTCTAAACATTTTTAAGTTATGCATACCACAACACACATACCACTCCTGAAGATCTGCTGCTCAAAGCCATTTTTGAGAAATCTAAAATTGATGGGCTAAGAATAATTATGTTCCCTATCTACTGCATTACCGACAGGATGGTAATAAAAGCCCACAGAGCTGCTACTTCTCACAGCAAAACATGGAAGATGTACAGAAAGAAGGCTGATAGGGCTGCAGAGTCTTTATGACCACCCATAATGTATAACGAGGCACAAACTTACATGAAAGACAGACAGTGGAGTTGCAAGTGAGAACTAAACTACTGAAGGCAAAAAATAGACTACAGTTTAAAACCAATTACAACTGAAACAAAGATTTTTGTGTCCCCTCCCCTTTTTTTTTTAAATAAACTAGAGCCTGGAGGCCAAGCATGTATTAAACAACACTAAAGACATCACATTTTAAAAACTAATTTAAGAGCTAGAGAACAGTATTTCCTCTATTCATATTAAAGCAGAGCCAGATCAAAGTAAATTTCTCATTGTGAACATTTGCAAATGAAAAGGACCCCTCATGCTTTAGAAAAAGATAAAATTCATTCATTCTGTACTTGTAAAGATACTCTTGACTATCGTAGCTTACCTTACATATGTAAAGGCAGCAATATTTTCTAGTGCTAATTAAGATTCGAAAGATGAAAATCAAAACATAAAATTATCGCAAACAGCAATGGAAAAAAACTCCTCCTTTGTTAGAAAGGGTTACCTAGGATGAAGTGAATATTTTCTGCCTTTCAGTCACTGGTAGTACACATATCATCTAATAAACCTGTCTCTCTGATCATAAAATGACATAGGCAATTCAGTTCATCATTGTGAAATGTTAACATAATTTCATAATTGTACAACAAACCACAAGAAACCTTTGCCCCAGTGCTAAATACCAAGGCACAGGCTACAGTTCACACAGTGAGCAGTTCCAGAGACACAAATGAAATTGCCTCACATAAAAGTGAGACAGTCTTTGCAAGACTCACCACAAATAAAGACAGACAAAAGAATAAAAACATTGGTGCCTCAGGGACTGAAGAGTAAAAGGAGCTCAATTACTGAATTGCAGCAGCTGACTAGTCCTGTGAATAACACTTTCCTGCACTTCCTTGCCTGCTGTTGGAAAGTCAGCAGCAAAGGTGGAAGAGCAATTACCCATTGGAATCCACAGAGAGAGCCATAAAGCCTCAGGTACAATGAATAAACAATACGGTTGTCACCTGAAGAGCTCTGGAGTTGAAGTCCACAAAACAACATATAACAGGAGTGGGTATCACAAGTGTGAATCTTAAGCTATTAATGCAGAAGTTTTATGCAGAAGCAAGAAATAAGCTACCTATTTTCAGGCCTACAGTTAACCCACTGAATGACAGTGCAAAACTATGAAAAATATCAACCTATCATTTTGATCTCTGAACAAACAGTGACAGTAACAAGAACCAACTGCTCCTTACTAATTACCTCCAAGGCCTTGTGGTAAAATATCTTAGCAACTCTTGAATACTCTGAAGTCCTAAGATCCACACCACCTCCTGGAAGAAGTACCCTGAAAGGCAACATCCAAGAATATGATTAGCAACAGCGATCAACCCAAAACTTGGACAATATACACAGTGAAATGTCTGATAGCAGTCTTAAGGGTATGATTTAGGTCTAGGTTTCAGAAATCTACAGGCAGATATCTATGCTCCCATTATGGACAGCAGGGATCCAGTCAGGAGATGCACTGGAGATTCAAATAGGTTTTCCAGAGCAGACACCTGAGTGGTGGGTAGGTTGAACAGCCCTGTCAGCTCCACTGGCTGTACTGACTAGCATTCCATTAATTATGTGAGTTTGGACAGCTAGTGCACAGACAGACAGCTAAGTTTAGATGTTTCAGTCTTTAACTTAATCATAGTGTTCTTAGTGCTGTTCTGCTGAAGAATGGTTACTCTACCACAAAGTATAGATCAAGCCTAATGCACATATGGAAGAAGAAAGTAAACAGAAAATATATAAAACACACAGATTTCAGCTGGTATTCGAAAGGGCTGCAAGCCATGACTCTCATTTCCTATCCTGATTCTCAGCTGGCTCTCACTACCACTTTAAAACTCTAGCCCAAATCTCAATTCATTCTGTTCAACTTCAGAAAAATAGAATTGTGGCCCTGGCACAGTGACCTTCCTCTTGGAGACAACAAAGATCAAAACTTTTCTATCAAAAAGGAAGAAAAGTATGTTTGACCATAACCTTTGGTCACACAGAGCTAAGGAAGACAATCTCAGGGACAATTTCACTGAAATACTACACAAGCTTTTTCCACCACAAAATATAATCAAGAATGGCAGTTCCCTGTGTGGCTCCCCAAACGCAAAAAAAAAAACACCACAGAAGAAAAAGATTCAGCAGAGTCTAGGAGACATATGACATGATGACATAGAAAATATTCAAGTACCATCAGAAACAATAACATGAAATAAAGGAAGCCTCTTCTGGCTGTAACTGGAACAGTGCCTGCAGAACCAACAAAACTGGATGTGTAAGCACTCCTTAACCCACTGCTGCAGAACCTCAATTGGATTTACACAAGTCACATCCATTAATTGTTGATTTTTTACCGAAATGGGTGTAGGATTTCTTCTACATTTCTGTGCTGTGAAAATGGCAATCTGTATATGTGAGATACTAACAAGTAGCTAGAAACAAATAACATCTCAAATGATCCCAAGCATTTGCAGAGCAAATATTCATTTAAACCCTTGTGACCATTTTTTTTTTAGAGTGAAAAATGCACAGGCTCATGTAACAGCTATCAAATATTTGGTGGAAAAGCACTATTCACAAAAGTACAAAAAACTTTACTTCCCAGTGTCAACATTGAAAATTAATACAGCTGAAAGTATTTTCAAAATAGACCAGATTATTAGAGATCTAATTAGACAAATAAGGTGATCTTTACCTGGAAGTGGTAGAAAATTCACTCCACCTGTTCAAACCAAAACCTGGACTATACTAATTAGAAAAACTGAACGTCATTTTTGCTAATGCACAAAGGAAATAACCCATTAGGTAGCAATGATAATGACCTGACATTGTCATAAGCAGATTGAAATGCAACTACGTGTATTCCAGTATCACCACCTGGTTAAAGCTGATGATTTCCTCTGGGCATTTTGATGGCTACCTCAGGAGTAGCCATAAAATTACAAAAAAATAAATAAAATACATAAAATGTCTTTACTATAGTAAATTTCATGATTTTAAGAAGGTAGCATTTAATACTAAGTAATTTCCAACTTCAAAGAACAATATGAAGGCTCAGTGTATCTCCTCCTTATACTGAATTTCCACAGAATAAAAGTCATTGCCTCCAGAGCTCTTTTTTGTTACTTACACACAGTTTTATTGTGGAAGCCAATGGATGACAGTGGGGGGCCACAGAAGGAAATCTAGACCAACTTCACTCACCTACATAACACAAACTCAACTGACTTCTGACTGCAAGGACAGAAGGACAAAGAAAGTGGATCTACTTGCCAAACACTTTCTTCTGCATTGACGTAGGTACTGAGGTAGAAACAATGAGAGACCCTATTGGTGGAAAGCCCTTTTGGCAACCAAAGTGAAGCTGGTAGCCGTGAGAAAGGGAGGAAATTACTAATTCTGTCTCCAACAGCATAGAGCAGAGAAAAGCATCACTGTCTTAAGCTCGCTTATAGCACAAGAGTGCAAAGACCCACATCTTAGCGTCCAGGGCATGTTGATGTAGGACAACGCACTCCCCAGACAGTCAAAGGTCTAAATCTGCAAAGTCTACACATGCTGATTAACATTCTAGTTATATGCATAAGCTTAACAAAGGTATTCATGGTTTAAGATGCTCATCTCATGACTACAAGTAGCCCAATCACATGCTCTGGCCTCACACACCATCACAGCTGTGAAGTGTAGCATTAGCTGATATTACTCTCCCGAGTTGCACTCTCAGCACAGGCTAAAAAAAAGAAAAGGTTTTGACTTTTTTTAGTCCGCAATAAAATCTGTTAGGCAAGATCACATTATCCCACACTTGAACAGGAAGAATAGAGTTGCCATAGATCCCCGGAAAACCAGGAAGTTTTTTTAACAAATACCTAAGACACAGAATCACAACAGACGAGACAGACCAAGTAGCAAGAGAGAGAAAGCACACATGGAGAAAAGAGTAGAAGAGACTGAAAATCAGAAGCTTTTATAATAGAGGAGATATGAAATGGATTGAAAGAGGGAAGAAAGGGTAGAAACAGGGATGACATACTAAGCCAGTGCTATTAAAACATCAAAATAAGGGTGACAGCTCAAATGAGGAAGACAGAAAAATTAACAAAGAGGAAATGGAGTATCTCACTTGCAAAACTGCTCATACCTACAATGCTACTTCTCCCTGTCTACAGACAAGCACAAGGGACTGCCAAGGTGAGCCTTGGCACTGTTGTAGATTATCTGACGTGTTCCTCAAGGAAGGAAAGGCAGCACACCAATACTGGATGAAATAATGCATTCTGTGTCTTATTTTCATGTCTGCAGTGCCCAGCACAACCTCTCAAGAGAGTAGGAAGAAAATGTTCTCGAGAACACAGAAGAGCTCAAAAACAGAACCATCATGCCTTTCAACAGAAAATCAGTGCTCAAGACTTACCCATTAATAGAGTGGAATAATTTATCATATTCTTCATCTGTAAGATTTAATCTGAAACACCAAAAATAATTATAGAATACATACAATATAAAAATATTTGATCTCAAAAATATCATCTCTATTGAACAGAAATGTCTGACACAGAAAATATGCAGAAGGCATGCTTTAAACAGAGTAAAATGGACATAAATCAAATGAAACATTTCACTTGAAACTGCTCAATCCACAAGACTGAAAACAGGGCCCTGTCAGGTGGAGTTCCTGATGAGGTACTCTGAGACCCTTTTGCAAGACACTTGAAAAATGTACTATTTACATGAATGGCATGGTTATTATTTCCTGTAGACCGGCAACTCCGGTTTCCAACTGATTCCAAGAAGGGCAGAGCTGCAAACAGTGGGTCACACCCATGCACCCCCAGTCTCCTTGCCAGCGTGGCAGCAGAAAAAGCAGAAAAGGCCTTGGCTCTGTTGGCTCAGCAATAACAAAAACATCTCTATATCATCAACCCTGTGCTAAAGCACAAATCCAAAACACACCCCCACACCAGCTACTGCAAAGAAAATTAACTCTACCCCAGCCAAAACCAGCACAGATGGCCACACTTGTGCAGAACTGATATGCTGGGTGTAAGTGAAAGTGTTCAGTTTTGCTGCAAGTAACTTAATTGCCAGAACTGGAAGAATCCATTCATTGGTAACGCTTCTGGTCAACATTCTGGAAGCTCCAGCAGCTACGTGAGAAATGCTGGCTTCTAATTTGGGCACTTAATTGGTGCTCTTATTGGACTGTGTAAATACATACTATTTTATTTTTCTGCAGCTGTATTAGTATTGTTTTTAAGTACTGAAATTTATAATTTTATCATCTGGCTTCAGTGCACTTAATATTTTACAGCTAAGCATCGGTGTGAAGCACTGTCAGTTGTTACTCTGCTACTTTTTACCAAACAACCAAAATACAAGGATATAGTGACCCATAGTTTGAACAGAACTAGAATTTCTTTTCTGAAAGGAGTACTGATAGCCTTCCTTGATTCCTTGAATTCAAGGGCTACAAAATGTGAGAAAAATATATAGATATCCATGTATCTCGGTACCTTTGTGTGTTTGTGGGGCACTACACTGTACACAATATAGCTAACTTCAAAAAACATGCATGCAAACTACAGAAGGCAATTTTACTGGTAAAAAAATTTGAACATTTCAAAGAAAGACTAGTAATGTAAGTAGAAGTATTAAAAAGTACATGTTACACTCTGCTTTTATTACGATTTCTGAAACTCTGAGACTTGTGACATCTTCAGATGGTCTTTGAGGAGCAATAAACACTCAGAAAAGCAACAGAACTACTTTTTGTGCCTTGAAAATGGTACATACCTTATACAATGCAATTATTATCCACTCCTAAGGATAAAAAAAAAAAGGTACCTTATTGGCACAGCTCGAGCACCAGCAGATTCCACAAATTTCACATATGAAGCTGCAATATAAGATCTTCCAAATCGCTGGTACTCATCAAAGTGACATTCCTGTGACAATATCCCTGAAGGGCCCAAGGAAGAAAATTAGCACCATACAAATGGCAAATGCTACACACTGAAAGAAAAGTCATGAAATCACTGATGCATTTAGGTTGGAAAAGACCTCTGAGATCATCAAATCTAACCTACAACTGAACACCACCATGTCAACTAGACCATGAAACAAGTGCCATGTCCAGTCTTTAATTAAACACCTCTAATGACGGTGACTCTACCACCTCCCTGGACAGTCAATTACAGTATCTAGTCACCGTTCTGTGAGGAAACTCTTCCTAATGTCTAACCTAAACCTCCCCTAGGTAGCTTAAGACTCCATCCTCTTGTGCTATTGCTAGCTGCCGAGAAGAGACCGACCCCTACCTGGCTACAACCTCCTTCCAGGCAATGGAACGCTGATGTCACCCCCGAGCCTTCTCCCCTCCTACCCGAACCACCCCAGCTTCCTCAGCAGCTCCTCCAAAGACTCGTGCTCCTATCAATTAATTAATTAAGCTCCCACTTCCCATATGCCAGCTCGCAGGGAGACATTTACTGCCCAGAGGAACTGCAGGCACCGGGACAACGGGGCATCAATTACGGCGCCCGGTCACAGGGCACCACATAAACACACATTACCTGACTAAGCCTCGGCTATGACCGCTCGCCACCGTAACTCCTCTCGAGTAAGCATGATTTTTAGAGAACGCATGTAGAGAACTGATTTTAGAGAAGGAGTAAGGCAGTTTCTAACACCTCTAGCCAAACCTCCGCTGCGAGAGACGTTTCCCAGGCAGGCTGGGGGCTGCCCCTTACCGATGATGGGTCTGTCATTGCGCCCCTCCGGGCGGGCGCGCCGCGACAGGGAGGCGGCGGAGCCGCAGCGCAGCAGCACCAGGAGAAGCGCGGCGGCCGTGACGGGAGCGAGCCCTGCCAGGCGCCCCATGGCCACCGCCGGGCACAACCAGCGGCTGCGGGCACGGCTCGGAGCAGGGCTCGGCTCGCCGCCGGGCACGGCCGCCGCCTGGGCTGGGCCGGGCCCCGCCCCCGCAGCGCCGGCGCGGCCGCCGCGCGGCTCGCTGGGAAATGTAGTCCCGGCGCGCTGCCCCGCCCGCCGCCTCGGCCTTCCCTGCCCGAGCCACGCTTGTGCCGGCGACAAACAACGCTGCTTCAACCAGAAAGGGTTTATTAATTAAAACATGAGTTAATACATTAAAAAAAGAGAGAAATCTTTTAAAAATTGTGCATTACATCACGCTTACAGTCAGTAGTAAATTATATTTGCACCGTTTAACAGGAACTTTAATTTTTTTAGAGGCACTCCCGGTGTTTATAAAGAATAATGCACTTAGGGATCTTTTTGTTGGCTGCTGCTCAAAGCTGCAATACCACAGCGCATCGTACCAATATATCGCCACTATTCATTATGTAAATGTTCTAATTATCCCGTGTCCTTATTATTAGCAGCAACGGCAATTAAGAGTTCCCACCTCCTATATAATATGTAAACATTAAAAAATAATTAACAGTTCAGGAAAAAATGACTGCACTCAGTGCTCTAACTGTTGAGTTATGCAAACACGCTATCACTTAATAACAGGATCAGGGTATTTTTGAAGACATTTAGGGCTTTATATTCATAGAGCTGGTGAAGTCCAAATAAAGATTAAAAAGCCCCAGCTAAAAATGCATTTGCATATACACATGCAATCAAATGAGGTTTCTGCTACATAAACCAGTAGCAAACAGAGATTGGTTTCATAGGAAAAGTTAAATTTTCTTGTTCACTGAAACATGGTTCCTTTGTTCAGTTTACATTCACTGATTAAAATTGAAGGACTGTAATATTAAGACAATAGCTTTGGGTCTCCAGCTGGTAAATTACTTGGAACTTGAGTTACACACTTGAACAATTGCCAGATACCTGACTACTTAGTCTATTTTCTTATAAAGAAGAATTTGCAGTTCATTGAACTCCTCTATTTAAGGAGCTTTTGTATCACAAAATAGTTCAATCTGAGAAAAAGAAATATATATGACATACATTTTCATAGAATCATATATATCTGAAAATAGTTTTCTTTAAATTTAGGCCCCATATCAAAAATATTTTGAATGAGAAAAATTTAAAAGGCACTTGAGGAAATTCAGAAATTGGAAGAAAAAAAAAAAAAAAAAAGACGTTCTCAGTTTTGAAAGAATTTCTGGCATTGATCTTACCACAGAAGAAGAAACTACAATCAACAAGTACTCTAATGGGTCTTTCACAGATGATCCTCTTGCTAATAAAGAATAGTTTCCAGTGACTCTTGCAATAATGCCTTATTAATCATAATCTAAAGTAAGATATTTCTAATATAATAGGATAGTTTCATTTGTGTCCCCTATGCCTATATACTATCCCAATACCCTAAAGATTACAAAACAACTGAAGTTACAATTTCTAACTACCTGAGATAAAAGCATTTTTTATAGATTTATTTATAGGAAAATTCATGTGGAATGCTTAAATATATAGTGCTTATGCAAAAACAAAACTGAGTTAAGAACTGGGTAAAGCAGTTGGTGTACTAACAGATTTTAGGAAAAAGATGAGAGAAAAGTAAAATAATGGTTGAGATTACTAAATACAGGGGATTATAGCATAATACTGCTGTGTAGTGTGAGTGATAGCTTTTACACATGCAGTATTCATATGCCAACAATGCGCCTTCAAAACAAAACAAAAACCTGTTTTCAGTAAGTATGGAGATTTTTTTTTTTTAGTACCCCTAGATAAATGAAGATGTAGTCTCAATGGAAATTAAAAATAATTTCTTTCAGTGCCCAGCAGCAAACAGACTGGCAAGTTGTCAACTACTGTACTGAAAATAGAATGACGATACCAAGCATCTCCTATGCTGAAGTCCAGTGACCTCAAAGCACCCTTAAAACATACAACAGATATTTCTAAAGCTCGGATCTGCAAAGGATAACCTACTTTACCCCCTGAAACAAACAGATAATGCAAACAGCTGAAAACTTTTGACCTCTGTAGTCCTCCACTCCAGGGATTAAAGGATAATAATCTGAGTTGTTTATAGTTGTAGACAGTATGACTTTGAAGAAAGAAAATAAGAATTTTCAAGGTTGTTGACTCTTACCAGTTCCTCCCCCTGATTCACACTGTCCTTTGAAGGATACATACATGGTGTTCTCTCTGTAAAACTTGAAGACTACTGTTAATTAGCACAAAAAGGGAAGCTGCACAAGAAGCACAGAGTAACACAAATGTCTCACTATTGATGACTAATTTCCAATTTGATACAAACTAACAAAACAGCATTTTTCCCTGAGAATCAATCCAAAAAGCAGCCTCTTCACTCTTTGTAAATTAGCCCCATAGTTTTGTTTCTGCAACAAACTACTCCACCCTATTCACAGTCTGTTCTTTGTTTTGCATCCTATTATCTTGACAAGCCTAGGTACAAGAGCTAAGCATAAGGTTCTGCACTGCATTATTACAGATGAGTTGTCTCCAAAGACCTAACAGCAGCAGTATCAATCTCACATCTAATGCACGCTTCAGCTTTCTGGCATACAAGTTACTTAATTACAAACAGTGCAACAAATATGTAACATTCATTAATCTCTTCAGACATACAAACTGATACACTCCAGTTAGTATAGAAGTGCAGCCAATATAACATTCAGTGAGTGCCCTGCAAAGACATACTAATTTCATTCACAAATGGAAGTTTTCATATTAAACTTATTTCCAATTCCAGTGTTCAAGAATTGATAAAATACTGTATCAAGGTTATTCCCAGGCAACCAGAGAAATGCTTTGAAGATAATCTGAAGATGCCATTATGAAGTCAGTCCATTCCTTGGCCAGCTCTTCAAAGGAGACTTCCTCTCCTCCATACTCCTGTGGGAGAATGCTGATGGGGAAGTGTTCTGTCAGACTCTGCAAGTAGTTATTTCCATGCATGTACACCTAAATCGAAATATTAAAAACATTTACTTAGGTATGAATGCCAGACCATTGAGTGAGAACAGGCAGCAAAGCATCTCAGGGCAAGCGCTGAACCCACCAGGTTGGTTTAACTAAGTAAGTGTGCTTGTTCATAATGAGTTCCTTAAAAGGAAGAACTGCCCTTGTGAGTTTCTCCTAGGTGCTCAAACTCTGTCCTGCTCTGAATCTGAAGGCTGTGAAGGATGGGCTACAACCTGAGAACTGCATCTTATGTAACTGTGAGCACAGGAGTCAAAACTAACTATACACTTGTTCCAGACTGTTTTAGCAATGCTGATGAGGTACACACTACATGCAAACTGCTAAAATTACCTAAATCATGGGAAGACTCGTGTTTTGTTCTGTCATGATACCTTGTGCTTGCCCTTCTGTCATTTCCAAGAAAAGAGCCGTGTGTGGCTCATGGCCATTACTATCTGGTCCTGCCACACGTATTCAAAAACAAGATCATGTAGTATGTATGTGGGTTCAGACAGGTGTCAAGGAAGATACTCAACAGAATCTATATATCAGTCCTTATCTTTCAGTTCCAACTGGAATTAGACTCTGGACTACTTCTCCACTATAACCCTTGCAATACTGTAGGTTTGGTTCTTCTTCCCTTGCTTTATTGTAGCTATTTTGAAGCCTTGTTCATTACTTCCAGTCTGATACTTTTCTAGGATCTAGTGTCCTGGCATGCAGTGGCTATTGCAAATGCCCAAGATCCACGTGCTGAGAAAAGGAGGCTTCAGAATGGGAATAACAATAGGCAGGACTGCTTATTTTGTACCTAAATCCTGCTGTTGCCACTTCACTATTGTGCCAGTTGAAATCTCCAATATTTTTCCTATGCTGCAATAAACCATAGTCCTTGGCATGCTTTTGCATTTCAAATACAAATCTATTTGCAGATCTATAACTGCAAAACCATTTAAAGCAGTGAAGGAGCTATTTGGAAAAAAACTTAGAAATTAAGTCTGACCAATTTTTGATGCAGAAATGCCTCTGGAGGTCTGTAAGAGCTAAACAATTGTCTTCTACTAATTCTGCACAACTTTGACCAAAAAACACTGTCCAGTGATCATTTTTCTCTATCACTTATAGGCAGAATACTGGGAAATCCAGGACCTATTTCTTTCTAGTTCTGCAGAAGAATTATTACTTGGCCTCAAGCAAATTATTTAACCTCTTTGTGTCACAGTGTTTTTTATCTTTAGAGTAGTGATAACAGCACCACTTGCAACTCTCATGTTATAAATAACTGTATATGCTTTACTGTTACATCCTGGAGGTCTGTATGGCACTAACAAACAAAAATGATTTATGCTCTTCAGTACCCAGGAGTAGCAGAGCCTAAGGAAAGTGCTGCAGATTGTCATATAAAGGCTTTGTGGCAGAAAGAAATATTTGTGTGCACTCACCCGTTGCTTTATTTTTTCAGTGAGAAAAGGCTTAATTAGAGCGAAGACTGGGTGGAAGAATAAAGGCTCATTAATCAAGTGGATACCTCGAACTTTCAGTGGAAAGGAATCCTGTCAGCATACATGGAAAACAGAATAAGAAAAAGAAAATATTATTGAAACACCTCGATTACTAAGGACAAGCCTATAAAAACTGTCTAGTCCATAGATTAAAGTATTTCTTCTGACCTGGCCAATTCCTGCATTTTGCAGTGTTCCAGTAGTGTAAATTAAGAAACATTTAGAAAAATTATATCTTGTTCCTCCCATTAGAGGGAAAAATCTCACCATTTTTTCCATCTCATTATGAGCTGAGATTGAATATTAAAAACAAACAAACAGAAAAACAAAACAGAAAACTATCACCAAATTGCACATAAATATTGTACACCAATCTTGTGCTCAGCCTTTCTTCTAAAGTACAATTTTTTACAAAATTCTGCTAGTAATTTACAAAAAAGCTATCTAGCCATGTGCTTTTATTGTCAATTTACAGCCTGAAG